GCCCCTCAGTCCTTGGTCAGGTAGAGCTGTACCTTCATTTTTTTTGCTTGTGATCGCTTTGAATGCTTCCTCGTGGGAGGAGATAAGAAGCCTTTTCAGATGAATGATTTTCTGATGTCCGAGTAATGATTTAGTAAATTACTACACTGAAACAAGAACTTTATTAATGAAATGAATGAAATGGGATGTAACTTGTTTTGTAAAATAAAAGAGTAAACAATCCTGCAGCTTGATCTTGCTTTGTAAGAAAACTACTGTGACACAAAGAATGTGGATTCTATACATTTCTTAAACCTTCATTGCTTTTTAGTTTGTGTTCGTTACAAGTGAAGGTGTGTTTTCGAGAGGAGTGACAGCAAACAGATGTAAGACGTGCTGACTGCTGCTCAGTGCTGTTCTAACAGCGCTCTGCAAAGAAACCCCTCTGTTTCTCACCTCCTGGCATGGGGCCCTGTCTTGCTGTAGCGTGGATTATGTTGTGCCTTTTGTCTGCTTTATTAACAGGATGACTTTTGCTTTGCACCTATTACGCTAATACATTTAGGTCAAAGTGTTGCTTATATCTGTTGTTGTATGTTGTGCATTTTATTATGCTTTATTTTTTGCTGGATATTAAAATCTCTTGAGTAACTCATGGCCATACAGAGGTGTGTGTGCAAGGAAACATCAGTTCACTGGATATAACTCTTGATAAGTCTTCCCAAGCTGAACTTTAGAACCCTGTGTAATGAAGTGTGGCCTTTCTCTCATGAATGTTATTTGTCTGCTTGGATATACTTTTTTTTTTTTTTTGCACGTTAGAAAGATTCATGTTATGAGTGATTTAAATACTATTTCTGAAGAAAAATGTGGACCGAATGAGCTTAGTTTTGTAACTGATGTTTTTTTTTTAAAGAAATATCTTATTTTTAGCTATAGTCAGTGTTTCTCTGTAACCACCACAGTGATGCAGTTGTGGTAATCACTGAATACCACCATCAGGTATTGTCAGGAAAATGCATTCCTTACCACCTGCTGGCAGTCTGCCCATCATGGTTCTGCTCTTGTTTCAGGTTAGTCTGATAAGTAACTAGAGCGATCAGTGCAGTTTGTAGCATCATCACAAAGACCACTCTAAATGCAGAATTAAACAAATGGAACATTTTCCCAGAACCTTTGACTGTCACACGCTCACTGAAAATCACCATTGGAAACTTCTTTGTGAGGTTCCAGCCCCTGCTAGGAGAGCAGAGCTTTCATGGCTTTGATGGCATCACTGTTGCAGCTGCAGAGATACTGTAGTCATTCTCTTAGGACATTTGATGAGTAACTTTATGCTTGTAATTCATTGAAGATTTTTTTCTGTCTGCATGGTTGGTTGGTGGTGCATACTGAGAACATTCCACTTGTGCTCTGATAAATGTCTCTTGATGCTGAGTCCCCAGGTACCATCACTTTTCCCAACTAACTTGGGAGAGACAAACATTAAAGTTTCTTATTTAAAGATCCCATCAGCAGGAGATTTCAGAACGATGTTCAGAAGTGTCATTTTACTTTTCTGATGGTTATGTGTTCAGTACGTTTTACAGGACCGAAAACTTAAGTATTCCTAAGCCTTATTCTGTAAGGTGTTCCAGTAGCTGGCCTGGCTTGCAAGAGATTATTTTCCATTTTAAGTAGCCAGTGTATACACTTGGAATTGTAATGTAATCCATGTACTTCAGATTTTTGTTGTGCACATCTGTTGAAGGCCTATGCAACTTTTTTCTCGAATTAGAAATGTTCAGAAAGAACTTTCTGAACAGAAATTTTTACCTTCAACATTTTAAAAGATGCTCTGGCATTCTCTTACTTGCCTTCCTTTCATGATTTGTGAAGTTAAAATTACGATGCTCGTGAATTAAAGGTGTCTCATTTAGTAGTGGGGATGCATTAGTTAATGAGAAGCATTTATTCCCAGGTTCAGGGCTACCACAGTGCTGAGGGCACATGTGATCTGTTTCCATGGTTCTGGTCAACAGAACTCTGCCTTTTGTTTATGTTACTTGAGTGTTCCTCCCTGTTAGTACTGGCAGACGCCATACAGCTGGTGGTGTTTGATTTGGGCAGCACTACACAGAGAGCACAGGGCTGGGCGGCAGTGGTTTTGGAAAGGCTGGGAAGCACAGGCCTTGTTTTGGCAAAGAAAAAGGAGAAAGGTTGAGATGTTCCCTCAGTTCTGAAATTCGTTCCATTTAAATTTCATCATTAACAGAGATTATCTTAAAATAAAATTCTGGATTACTGCAGCACTGGACACTGGTGTGGTCTGCATTTCTCACATGTCGGATAACGTGTCTGGTTTGTTTTAGATATTCATCCACATTGTTGGGAAACACCATGCCAGAGGACTTCGTTTTAATGCAAAACAGAGACCAACAGTGGCTGTGAATGAGACAGGAAATACCGTTCAGTCATGTTCCTCACCTCTCGTTGCATTGCTTCAGGGCTGTGGCGTGTTTTAAGCATCGTTACTGACAGCTTTAGTCACAGCCAAATGGGATTTCATTTCAGTTTTCTCTCAGTGGCATTGATATGTACAGAGGGCTGAGTCAAAGCATTTAACTGCTGCTTCCAAGAGTAATCTACTAAGATAGGTACTTAACAAATAGCTTCTCCCTCCTCTTTCGGAATTTCTTCTGCAATTCAGAACGTTTCTGCTGGGATAAACAACAGCAGTGGTGTTCTCCTTGCTCTTCGTAGCAGTGCCCAAGTGATGCCAAACTTGAGCAGCATCAGCTATGGGTGCACAGGTGTAGTTCTTCGGCAACTGAAGGGCTGAGCCTGGCTCAAACATATTTTTCCCTTTAGATTTTTACTCCTTCATAGCAACTGTGTTTCAAACTCTACCACCCTTGATTCAGTAGAGCAACAAGAAGATTGCTGTGAGGAAGCACCCCGGGATGGAAGGTAGGTTTGAGAATGACGAGAACTGAGCGTGCTGCCCTTTGCTGGTACAAGGGGGGCTCAGCTCTTGTAAGAGCATCAAGGATGGGAGAAGTGGGCACCTGCAATGTGCTGGTTCCTGAGGGACCAAGGAAGGTCAAACAGTGCCTGCTGGTATGTTGGAAAGGCTTTTTTTTTTTTTCCCCCTAATGGTGTCAAAGCAAATTTTCATTGTAAGGCAGACTACTAGTAAAAGCCTTGAAGTCAGATTAGATTTAAGAATGCTCAGGTAAGTAATAGTTAAACTTGGGCCCAGGCTCGTTGAGATTCTTGGGAGTTAGCTGCTTATCCTTTCATGTTGCTTTAAAAATACTATAAAATTAGTAGTTATTTCTGCTCTACTGTAGGAAAATGCTGACAGCTAACATAGAAAGCATTTTTTCACAGAACTGTAAAGATTCTTGGAGATGGGAGGGTCACCTCTTAAGCAAGGCTGCATTACAGCTAAACAGGAGACTGACCAGCAGCACCTGCTCAGCTGACTTTTGCATATTCTTTCAAATGCCTGACTGCTTTTTTCTTACCACTGCTGAGCAGTCAAGGTGTAGATTTGCTTGGAATACTGCAAGTTATGCATCACCCTTCTGCTTGTATGTAAGTGACGGCGACCTCTCAGGCTTCTCCAGCTGCTGGCAGTATTCACTGCAGGGTGTGTTCCCTGAAACTATCACAGCTGCTTTGGATTTCCTCACAGCTGAGGTCCTGTGTTTAACTTAACATCCTTCCAGCTTTAGTAAGTAGCTGCTGTGGATTCACTGCAGCAACTTCCTGAGGTCAGTAACTTTGCATTACCCAGTCTGAATGCATGAATTTATTGCTAGGACTGTAAGCACCACATTACTGAGTAACCACAACAAAACCAACACAACACCCTTATTAACACAAAACTTGAATTAACTTTATTTTCCCCTACAGTCAACAACTGGTCTGCATTGAACTTGAAAGCAACAAAATAAATGAAATCTCCAAATGACGGGGCCAGAAATCCAGATTTAATTACCTCTGTGAAAACGCTTCAGCTGTAGTATTGGTCTGTAAAAAAACCACTGGAGTTGGAAATGAGTTCGTAAATCAAAAATATTCTACACCTTGGGAAAGAAGTCAGCAGTAACATTCTCATAAGGACACTGTAAATTTACATTTTCTTCATGAAAGGTACATACTATTCTGCACTTCACATCAAGTCACTGATGCAAGTTTTGTTTCTGTAAAAAGTTACAATCTGTGGCAGGAAAACAAACTGCAAAACCCTTTCTTGCATTTTATCCAAAGAAAATGTTCAAGTTTGTATAAAGCTTCCCTATAGCTGGAAAATGAACACGTTCAATCTCCATTTATATTACTTTAGTGCATTTAATGTGACAGTTTTCACCACCTTTTTCTTTAAAAAGAAAAACAACAAAAAACAAACAAGAAATCAGTATAAAAGACAGAAGAAACAAATAGCGCTATAGAGGGGATTTCTTCAGTTGATCTGAGCACTAAATAAAGATGCAGAGAAACAGATTTCCAGAAGAACTTCTGCCCTCGCAGGTGAAGGTGGTGAGGGCGAAAAGGTTTGCAAACCCTCTACCACTGCCAGACACAGAAAAGGGGTTGTATACCTGTCAACCTTTTTCTTTCCTACAACAGGCTCCGCTTGTTCTACTAATGTAAACATTTTCCTAAAATAGTTTAGTTTCAGTTCTGAAGCACCAGCCACAGTATGGTGCTCAGCTGTACGTTTCTATAGCATTCATTACTGTCGACTCAGCTTTTTCCAGAGGATGCAAATTTAGCCCTTGTATCTGTAATGTGCAAGGTTTGCCTCGTCTACCTGATGAAGCGATAGCATAAGGCAGCAGCACTGCAATCCCTGCTAACCAAAAGCAGCTCATCCGGTCGGAGCCATCCCCCGGTTATCTGTCCTGCCCCAGCTCTGCTGGGAACTGCAGCTTTGCTTCTTACACCCCAGATCAAAACCAGCCTGCAGCGAGAGGAAAGGACGGCTGAAGAAACCATGGAGCAGTGATTATGGGAGGAACTTACTGTGAAAGTTTAATTTCAAAGACAGCTTTATTTCCTCGTAATTGTCGAAAACAAGTCATTTTAGATTTAACCATTCCAGTTTACATGCTGCTGCTCTTCAGCTGAACGTATTCCAAAAAAGATTGACAAGTATGCATGTGCCAAGGACCAAATTACAGGGTTCTTTGGTGCAGTCAGTCCAAATTCTCAACCGATTTGAAGGATAATATGTACCAATAAAAAAACGCTGCTAGACTTGGATAGCAGCTCTGTCTTGCTTCACATTACAAATCTAAAACAGCTGTTCTCAATAAGCCAATATTTTTAATCAGACATTGCCTGAAAATTTTGTACAATAATCTGGACCAATGATGGTTCTGTACCCTCATGTTGCTGTGAAACATGACTTGAGCTAAAGGCAAAGACCGGTTATCTCAAGGACAACTGCTTCGTATTAGCATTCGGAACAGTGCATTTAAACTGTCTTCCTGTTGGGTCTCTTGCCTTTCTTTAAAATTAGTTTATTCTTAATGTAGCCACGCTTCCTTTTGGAGGTCTAAAAAGAAAAACAGAATACAATGCATTAGTTAATGATTTAATCTTGACCGCGATTTTAATGCCGTGCGTTTCAATCTGAGCATCAGATTTATTTTTAAAGAGCTTAATGGGTAAATCCTCAACTAAGTAATACCTGTTTATTATTTTTAAAACTGCAATTGTTAATTCATGCCCAGCGTTTGCTTTGGTATGTGCTGTACTTTTCCAAGCTGCATATACACAATCTGTAGAGTTATTTTCAAAGCTTGAGCTGAGGCAGAATTAATAATTAACCAACGTGATAAAGCTTTACTAAATAGGCCAAAGAGCAGAAGTGACAGCATTAGTTTTGTTTGGAAATACCACCTTTTGCCCTATTTGGTTCTCTTTGAAGTTGGCAAGGTAGATAGTAATATTTGCACAAAAAATGTTTTTCAAAAATAAGAGAAACTGCACACGCATATTTTAATCTTTAGTCCTCTGCTGCCTGCAGGCTAGTTAGTGCTTTCTGCTCATGGGTCTTTATCAGTGTGTTTTAGGTTCCTCTTTCTTCTTTTTATTTAATAAAGGTGGTGATGGGGAGATGCTAGTCTTGGCTTATATTAAATTCAAATGCATAAATAAATAGTCAGCTCCTGGCAAGCAGAGCTGCACAGTGAGCAGCTCCCACACTTGCTGCAATGTGCCATGCATAGCAGCAGGCTCCTTTATGTCCATTAAAGACAACTTTTTGCTGAAAATAAGTGTTTTAAAGTGAGATATCAACACAGTAGTCAGACTTGGTACTCTGGTGAGTTTGAGCAATGTCACCCTCACTGTGGAAGAGTGACAGGAGAAGGACTGGACTTCCAGTAAGGAAGCAAGCATTTGAAACCCTCAGCTACTACAGAACCCTCAGCACGTGCTTAAGCAATCTGAGTTTAGACACTGGCCCCAAGTTCTTTCCTGGTTCACTCATTCCTTAATGGGAAATCCTTTAGTAGTTGGTGCTACAACAGCTGGTGCTGGATCAAAACTGCCTTTAGACAGAACCAGCACGTGCACAGCTCTAGCGAGGTCAGTGTGTTTACAAATACTACTTACAGTCCTGCTTTATCACCTACAAGCAAAAGTTACACTGTATGTTAGGTTCAGAAAAACTTCTGTTGTCTTTTTATAGTAAGACTAGCTTCTTTGGCAACTCTCAAATGCCTTATTTCACTTAAAATATGCAACTTTTACCATTTTTACCAGTCCCCTCTAACACTCCTTATTTGTACTTATATGACGGATGTATGTTTACTGCCTGCACTAATTCACACACATTTCTTTCTGACAGGATTCTGGGATTCCCTTTGCAACGTATGTTAGCGTATACAGGGGTGAGAAGCCATGAAGGACAGGGCTGCTGCTACGGTTCTCCCGTGCTCCCTGATAACAAATCCTTCTTAGCAGGCTGAAGCAGCACGCCAAACTAACACTAAGATGACATCGAACAGTAAGCAGCCAGACACTTAAGTTCCATCAACAAAAGTTTCATATTTAATTTATTTTATACAAAAGTGCCATTTTTAAACTTCTAGGCATCACTACTTTCAAACAAAGTCAGAAAGCAACTTCCACAGAATTTACTTAGTGAGCCATAGTTACTGAAACATGAATTGATTTACTTTAGAGATTATACTTCCAGTTACATGAAGACTTAGGAGCTGTAACAGCCAATGACACGCTCTATTTCCAGTTAGTGTTCTGCCTAAAAAAAATCTAGCCTTGTGTCTTCACATGCTTGTAAGTTAAGCAGACAGTAAATTAACAATTATTACCAGCAGGCAGGTCTGATATTGGACACTAACATGAACAGTATCCATGATATTCTGGCTAGTGGAAATACATAATTCACCCGCTATGTGATTGACTTAACAGTAAACTGCCCTCTCTTGACCCTCCGAGTTACTTCACTGGGAACCCACCTTCTTTGACAAATACTTCTGTTTCGGTACAATGTTGGTTACTCTAAGTTTATGATCCAACGTCTCCCTGTTGTCTAGTTGTTTCACCTTGTATATTCTAACCAGCCAGTGCTCTGAGGTAAAGGCTTCCTCCAGATGTTTAAATTTAATGTCCTTGTTTCCAATCTCAGCGTTTCGCGTACGATCAAATCCTGGGGGTGTCCGAAAATCCAGCTACAAAGATTAGAGCTGTGTATTAGTTAAGACAAAACCCAAAAGCACATCACCACAAACTGTGGTGCTTCATACCACAGGGCAGCAATTTCCACTGGTCTGGTCAAAGGATGCTACTTCCTTTATTACATTGGTCATTGCTACACAGAAAATACTCTCTTATTCTCAACTGTAAAAATTGAGAAGTCTCATTCATTCCTGCAGTTGATGCAAGAAACAGCGCTTTGTATCTTCGATGGAAACACCACTTCTGCATTCAGAGATTAAACTATTCCAGTGGAAGACTAAGGTACAGCAGCTCATAGCAGGTTGGGGGTTTTTTTGGCACAGCTGTTAATGTGTACTTTTCTACTCTCGTACTGAAATAGTTTGCACTTCCATGTTTCTTCCGTACAAGTCCAAAATAGTTTCTTATTGGGGTTATCAGTTAAATTTGACCCCTGTGTTAGGAACACGATCCCTTGGCTGCAAAGCTATAGCTGAATAAAGGGCTTTTGTGCAAAGAGGTCAGAATGAGGAGCCCCTGGGACAAGGGCTGGTGGTGAGAACAGGAGAAAAAAGCAAAGCAGGCCGATTTAGCTATAAACATGTTTGATGATGCCAAGAATTATGTGTTTACATCAATTATGCCCTCCCCCTCTTACAGCATGGTGTTGCATAATATACTGGTGTGACTTGGGTAGAAATTGGGTGGTTTCTGACAGATACTAAATAAAGACAATTATTAATAGTTCTGTTTTGCTGTTATGAACAACAAATGCTCCCTACCACATAAGAATTGAAGCTTATTGAGTGCTCTGCATAATGGAATTAGGACACTCATCTGAGACCAAGTAAAGGACAGCACAAAGCTAAGTGTCAGTCTAGGTTAGCAGTACAACTGCTTCTGCCTAAAGGCTCCGTGCAGAAAGTAGTTTGGAGGCATTATAATTAATTGGTGAAGATTACTTCCTTGCTTAACGATTCTACTATCAGGAGCAGTGCTCAATCTAAACGGTGGAAAATGCATCAAAGTAACATTTGTATTCTCACATTTTAATTATGGTTTAGTAGAAGAGTTAGCACTAACCTGCATCTCTCCAAATCTGTAATAGGACATCTTATACATGAGGCAGTTCAGCAGTGTTGGAGAACCTGCCTTGTCTACCCGGAATTCTCCCTGAGGAGTGAAGTAATCGCTTTCCTTTAAAAGCAAAAGAAGATAGAGTCAATATAAACTAAACCTCTACGTAAGGTAATTTCTCATTCCTTTCTCCACAAAAACCAACAGAACAAACCACCACCACCACCACACCAACAAAGCTTTCGTAAAGAATCTAAATTGACTTAAAAGCCCGATTCGAGTCAGTCATGATGATGCTCACTGAAGGTAGAATCAGTTACAAACTCCTCACTGTAACCTAAAATGCTGCAGAACAATCCTTCTACATCCCTGTTCTTATCTCACTACAAATTTTGTCACTTTACTGTAAACAGTCACTGGAAAACTGACTTGAAAACATACAAACTAGTTGGAGGATGTCTGCCCGAATTACTCTTAAAATGTGCAAAGCACCATACTGTTAATATACAAGATCTGTGTGTTATTGTAGACTTCCTTTGTGCACAGTTTGTACATATAATTTTTTTTGCTGTTTTCACCTCAAGTGCAAGATGAAACTCTCCATGCAGCTTCTCCATTATTCCTGTGCTGTCTGAAAGTTTTTGTTTGGCTTAAGCAAATATCACTACAGACTTCTGCAATCAGAGACATTCAAATAACTTCAACTCTACATAAATAAATATTAATGCTAGCTTGTCTCCTGCTATTACAGAGTTTGAAGAAATCTGTAACACCAACTATTTAAACATTCTGAATGCTCTGACTTGTTTTTTAGTAATTCAGTGGTGCACAGGAATGATAAAAGATACCTTGTTCTTTTATTACAATGCATAAAAGAAATTGAAAAGCTTTTGAGATTACTGACCTTTCATAGCTAAATACTGAAAGAACCCGTGCTACAGACTGCAGGCCTCTGCCCTGCTATTGTTCTGGAAGAACAACCCCTAACATATTTTCAAATAACTGCAGTAAATAGAGATTTCCCTCCACTGTGATGAACACCAGAAAAATGACAAAGTAAATAAAGGTCAAAAAAAAAGAAGAAAAAAGTGGAGATGAAAATACAGAACACATTCAGCCAAGAAGCCTTCAGTTTCCCTGTGTGCATTTCCACTTACCCGAATATCTTTGGGATGTTCCCCCTCTGCTATTCTCACCATCCACAAGAACTTATTGATGTCATCACCCGAGTAGCCGATCACACCACCAAAAATAATCAAAACATAATCCACATCCAGACTTCGCATGATCTCGTATGCTGCCGATTCATTTGAGGACATGGCCTTTCCCACCTGCATCACAGCAAAAACACCCTCAGTATCTGTACAGCTCCCTAATGACCACGTTCTCAGGTCAAGCATCTGCAAAATGCTTGTCACCCACCAGATCCCACAATCTCCTTCTAAGTAAATAAAACAGATTGTCTTTATTTAGAAGGCCTAAAGCTCAACCTGAATGGAAAAGGCTTCTGCTCTGCAGGAGAAGGAAGGGCTGCCTACTGAAATGAGCTGTAAGAAGTGTGGTAACAACTGCTTTCCTTTTGTGGCAGCTACAGATTTTTCCAGTGACAGCTGCATTGCCAAGAAGTTGGTGTGGCAGAAAATGCTGTGCTGCAAATTATTTTCAGCCTGACAGGAATACATTTTTTGAAATGTTGGTGTTCTTTTGCTGTCCCCCTCCCTCCCTTTTTTTCTTTCCTTCCTTCTGTCCCTCTCTACTACAGCAGCCATGCTGCACTGCGCTCAGTAGCAGATAGGGTTCCTTGGTGTGGAATTCAGGGAAAGTTTATGGAGAGAAAATACCAGGCTAGAGTTACCTTTGAGTTAAAAGCGTAGCACTGGCAAGCCAGTGTTTTGGCCCTGAAAATCTTTTTAAAGCTGTATGTAAAAAATCTTCCGGAATGTTCATTTTTCACCTAAAAATTACTTTAAAAATCCACTTAGGTCACTAACTGGCACCTGCTCAGTAGTCCTGTTTGCCATAAAATCTCCTGCGCTTAAAAGTATAATAATGTCTCACTGTAGTAGAAGGGCACAACTACCATATAAATAATACTGAATCCAAATTGGTAAAATTCAGTTAAGAACTTGATTAGAAAATACTAAGCTTACGCTGCAATCTGTCAAAAAGAAGCTCAGTTTCTTAGCTATTGTCTGTGTGAAATTATTTGGCACATTTCCATTTCTGCGCAGGAAAAAGTCATCTGGCAAATATTTCAGGGCAATGCCTCATTCAGAACACCAGTTCAGAGAAGTGCCACAAAGCACACGTAGTGCTTACTTCTCCCTTTGTTCACAGATGGAAGCTAACAGTACCAACCCTCCAGTCATACTGGGGAGAATTCTTTATTAAAAACCATTAATAATCAGTGCTGTAACGTGCACAGTTACTGTGTGTACAAAGTACAGGTGGTTGTTTTATGGTCTGTCTATTCACCTTATACATCTTGTCCTGAAGAATCTGCAGGTTTGGACTTAGCATCTGTACTATAGATACTGGCAACAGCAAAACAGAGCTATCTATAGAGCAGGTGAACACAGACAGACAGACATTCCGTTTAGAAGCTCTGTAACACACTGACTCTGGCAGGTCGACAAGAAAAAAAAAGAGAAAAGCCTCATTACATGGGAAGGCCTGCTGACTAATATCAGCAACACTGATTCAATTTCCCAAGCTTTCTTTTGGCTGATTCTAGCTCCCTGCCACTGCCAAAAGCACCTCACCTCACACATTTTTACAGTACTTTGTATGCTTCAAGCATCCCTCAATTAATTTGTTCATTTTGAACGCTGCTTGCCAGCACATCTGGTCCAACTGCTGTGCTGGGTACTGACAGAAGACAGAAACTATTTTGTCACTTTCCTCAAGCTCTTCCTGGCCCTCTGCCCACATCACAGAACACAGGTCTTCTGGGAAGAAGCAGGCACTGAGTGATGGCCGACTACACAGCACCTAGGAAGGCTACAATGTATGGCATTCCTTTGTTTCTGAAAAAAGGACAGCGCCTCTGTAGACGCAGACAGTGCTAACAAACGCCCTGCCTCAGATGGCACACACAACCCTTATACTTCAGAACTGGAAGAAATTAAAGGTACAGATGTTTTATCAAACTGCAGATTTGAGAAAACAATCACTTCAAGTCTGCAACACTTCTATTGCTACTTTCTCCTATTTCCAGGATGTCCGAAAAATGCATTTCATACGGTTGGTTTTCAGGGTGCCACTCAAAATCCAGTCAAACGCATTGCTGAACTGAAATGATCTGTGGGCAGTGCTGGCCGAGCAGTGCTACCAGTGAGTTTTTCTAGTGCACATCTCAAGGGGAACGGTTACACAACTCGATGCTGTCCATCTTCCCACAAAGAAAATACGACAAACTGAAGTGGAGCCACAGTTCTGGAAACTCCAACAAAACAAAATGGAGAACCCAAAAGCAGAATTGATCATGTCTAGCTCCAAACCAACCTTTATTACAGAGCTGAACTAACAGCCAAGATACCTGCTCCTTCCACCTCTGTTTCTTCATGTCATACTATCCTTCAATAAACATCTACACTTTCTGTCCAGAAGAGGACACTTTGGTGCTGGCACTCGCAGATCATTGCCATGCTTACCAGGGCTATGTGGCTGTTGTTCCAAGTGTTGTTGTCAACCAGCGTGGTCCGATTGGCCATCCCTGCGATCTGGTAACCGTAGTCCCACCACGACATTACCCTGGCATGCTCGTCTGTGTTTTGTCTCAGCCAGTAGTAGGCTTCCCTGAAGTCATCCAGGATATTGCGAGTGCTGGAGAACAGAGTTCATTTTATTCACATCAGTACAAATATTGGCAAGGAATTGACTGCATCATGATAAATCTGGGCTCACAAACAAAGTCTTTTTTATACTTTCCACTCCCTAAGAGGCGTTCAGTCCCTGGCCTGTACTCATGAGCTTAAACTCGTGGACAGCTGAACAGCCAGAAGCTGAAACTGCTTTTCAAGACATGATTAAATGCATTTCCAGTTGAATATATATTCATTAACAAATTGTATGACCCAAATACCTTTTTTTTTTCTTTTTTAAACTATTATGCTTACTGGCTTTGGACAGGATTTATTTTCATGTATTCATATCAAGTATTTTTTGAAATGTTATGTATTTTTGAAAAGTAGAACGTTAAGACTTTATTTTATTCAGATGACAGTTTTGCCTTAATATAACAAAAAGCAAAACAAGTTATAAATGCAAAGGAACTGGAAATGCTTTTGCCCTATAATTATTTTCAAACCTGTGACACTACTTACCCATCATGGTTATAAGAAGCAAGAACAACACTGGGGCTGGAGTACGCATTGCTCGTTACCCACGTACAGTGGACAGCAAACATCATCAACAGCATCAGCATCAGCATGGTAACAATGTTTTTGATGTTGGGCCCTAGTCCTTCTTCTGTTTTCTCCTGTTCAGATACATGTTTTCTCACTTTGCCTGCCTGAACAAACACAAACATAGCTGTTATGGCAAATTCAATCATCCATAGCAGTGAAACCGAAATGCACTACATGCACTCCATAAAAGCTTTGGGACACTGCAAAAATCAGCAAAGTTCTATTGCAAATTAACTAAGTATGCACAAGAACGTTTTGACAACGCAGCAACTTGAAAGAATGGATTATTCCCCAAAATCTTTTCAGAAGAAGAAAATCTGCTATATGTGACTTAGCTTAGTGTGATGATGCCCTTTTATAAGGCGGAGTGGAAGAGAGAGAGACACTGGAGTCTACTGTGAGGAACAGGGAGAAACCCTCATGCACTGGTTAGTGTAACATAGGCTAAATTATAAAAACATGAGTAGGTAACACCATCTTCTTCAGGAATATGAGTACAGAAATACCTTCCCATAAAATACATTATTCTTTAATTTCACTATGTCTAGGAGGGAATACAAGAGGGAAGCAGTTAGACACTGGGTGACACAAAACCACTGTATTAAAGGAGAGGGAGCAACTGCCTGCCATCACCCATCTAGAAAGCTGGGTCAGTACTGCAGACTTCCTTTGGTTAAAGGCTCACTGCTGATCAGTTAGAAGGCACCACTTCTCTACTGACACTGATTTTCTTTCAGAGCATCACTTACAGCTTATTGGAGAAGAGCACTTTGTTACTCTAAATTTCAGATCTTTAGGAAAATTCCAAAAAATAACAAAGCTTATCTCTATTAAACTCCTAACTTCTGCTCCCTGTCCTCACCTTATCATACAAGTTGCCAGGGTTCCTTTTGTCATCCTCATCGCTGCTGTCCTCTATTGGTGGATTCTCCCTCTTCATATCATCACCCAAGTAACGCTCAAAGACATTAGAGAAAGCAATTGCAGACAGCATACAGACCACAGGAGTCAGAGTGAGCATCAGACGAACCATCACACCAGCAAAGTAAACGGCACTGATTGCATACAGAGCAACTGCAGAGGAAGAAAAAAGAAACCTACTGATGACATTTAGAAAGTAACACTCCCTGTGACTGCACACATACATGCTCACCAGAAAACTATTTTTGGAAGTGGGCTGAGTATCTGTGTGTATAAAGACTGAAGTGTGCATCTTGTACTGCTTTCTAATTTACATGGGTAATTAATCAATGCATATCCCTTTTAAGCCTCAAGTCCTTCCTGAAACTCATCTTGCCAACTATTAACAATAACACGACTCCATTTTCATATTCATTAATAATGTGTCAGAAGATCCATTATTAGCGAAATTTAATAGCACACACCAAAAAAACTATTGGAGTAGTAGGTAGTTTCATTTGGTTAGAATGGCCAAACAAGTTATTAAATCTGAAAAAACAAAGAGCAAGGATTAGATTCTCATATAAACATCAAAATTTAATTTAGAGACATTCCTGAACAAATGGGGGCTTGTCTACATTACAATACAGATACAGAAGATGATACTGCAAGCCCTATTCCTAAGCAAGTTTTCCTGGACAGTATTATCTCCGCTCCCTTCCTTTGCTTCCCCTCACCCTTTCCTCCCCAAAAACCCCAAACAAAGCAGCAACAAAACAAGAACAACAAAAAAAACCCACAGGATTTTCAATATAAGAATATTCACAACACTTTTCATAGGAGAAAAAAACAAGAATGCAACCTGCATGCCATGTTAGGAACATCTGTTGTTCATGTAATAGTGGTTATTGCTAGTTTGCTACAGCTTGACACAAGCATACACTTTTGTGAAAGATCTGTGATTAGCCGCAGAAATTATTAAGGGGCACTGATTTATCAAATTGCATTGTATAAACATTTTGCACTTTGCAGTGCGATGCTATGGCTCTCTGCTCTCACTCATGGGTCTCTTTAAGCTGACTGAGATGCTGCAGCATTAGCAGGCTGAAAGGGAGTCTTGCAGCACTGCTTTTTGCAAGGACTCATGTAAGCAAAAGAGCACAAAATACTCCGAAGTCACAGGATTGAACACAGTAAATGTTCCTGTTACTCATGGCGTAGTTCCAGTAGGCTGCTGTAATGGACTGTAACCTTCTGCCTCCGTAACAGAATGAGGGAGTGTGCTTCACTCCTCCTTTTGGGCTACAACTCCAAGTTACATCCTCAGAAGCCTCATTCATAGCCCCAGCAATCTGCTCTCAAAGTAAAGCTTCATACAAACAAACAATTTGTTGTCACTGGCACTGGGAGACCCCACGCCTCTGCTTAGGCTTGTGCCTTATCTAGCACTTGCTCCACAGCAAGTGATTCAGTTCACTAAAATAGCTGAAAATCTGTTAAGAAAAGGCACTTTGCATCACCCTCTGTGGTGGGATGACTGCCAGGTAACCAGAGAAGAATCAGGTGCCTTGGACCCACGTGGGGGAGGGTTGCTGCTCTGAGCTCCTCACCTGGGTGTGAAACTGCACCCCTAACGCGAGGGCTGTGCAATCCACACACAGGAGAGCCACACAGCAGCACTGCACAAACGCTCTGACCCCACCTCGCAATAAGGCACTCCATCACCAACCCACTCCTCTCCACATGAGCTGCATTTTCATTAAGCTGTAAATACTACTGCATGCAGGCAACTTTGAACATTTCCCCCTCAAACATATCACATTCTAGAAGAGGTTTAAACATGTCATAAACCAGCTTTGAGCAAACAAAACCAAAACAGAATCAAGTTGAAGACAAGAGGTTTTGAAACGATTTTGAAATATTTTCTCTTACCAAAGACTCTTTCATCATTGATGTTTTTGATACAGAACCACAGCCCTGCTGGGAAAGTACACACGAGAATATGCAGATCAAAAAAGAAGGAAACCCATGTTGTAGGCTGATGCTCAGACACAGAGGCAATGATCGGGATGTGAATTTTCGCATACCTTTTTTAAAAAAAATTCAGTTCAAATTATTTTGAAGAGATAAAATTATTAAAACTTGTAAGCATTAGGAATTCTGAAATTCATTTCAAAGGAAGCATTGCAATTTAAAATGCTAAGTGCTTTATTTAGCAGAAACCTGATGAAACTTTAGTACCAAAAGATGTCCCCATGTCTTATTGTATGTAGGAAGTATTTTTGTGCAGAGCTATTTCAAGCATCAGTATAAAGGATCATTTCCATACTAATTAAAAGAATGAGAATTACAGGTGCTTTGTTCTATGATGGCTAAATAGGAAGCCAATTTCACCAGAATGAAAACACACAGCTAGGGAAGCCGTTGTTGTATTCCAGCAGGACACTCACCCATGACAGCAAATTTCCTAGGATTTCAATAGTGTATTCTTTTTCCATACCAAACACCTTCATTTGCTTAGTGCATTAAGCCAAATATTAAATACCAGTCCAGTTACTGATGTCCCCACATTTTCTCAGGTGCTTAAAATCAGGTCTGGTCTACACTTGGAAATGCATGTTAACTAAACACATCGAACACTCAGTGCGGATAACGACAGAATTGGGTTCCACATGAAGAGACAGCTCTGCGTACAGCCCTGATCTGGAAAGCTACGTGACCAAATGGTGAGCTATCAAACGTGTCCTTTTCTTCACTGATATCCAGGTCTCACTTAGAAACTGACGTGTTTTAAACACAATGTGATTCCTGAATGTAGACAAGCCCTCCAAATTTTGATGTTTGTACATGTGTGAGCAGACTGCTTCATTCAGAGGCAAGGAACAACATCTGTACATTTTTCAAATAAATGTGAGGCTTCTTTACTGTTAGCTATTCTACTACATTTATTACTGGGTTGGTACAGAATCTTTTATCAGGTGGCCTTCGAAGCCTGATAAAAAGCTGAACTGCGAATGTTTGAAGTTCTCCTACCCCTGCCTTTAATCTTAAAGATCTACCAGTTAAAACAAACCTTCAACACATTTATCTGCAGAATACCTTTGGCTTTATTCCTAATGTCCATTCTTTAAGTGTCCGGCTAAAGAACTGAGCACTGGAATTTGTAAAGTTAACTGAACCGAAATTTATTTACAAAAACACACATGAATAAACCAAAACTGTTCAGAGTAGACATCTGTATACACACAACAGATGTATGAACATAATAGACAGGCACCATGCAAGATCATGTGTAACAACTTTGTGATTTCGTGCAACGCTGCGCAATGAAAACAGTGTAAGTTTAAGGTTCTTAGTAATTCTGAAATGTGCCCTCAAGTGTTGATACCACCTTTTGTTATCTTATGCTGACATGACGTTTCATAGACAAACATACAATTAACATTCTCAAAGATTTCCAAAGAAGCAAGAAATTCAATAAACAAATTTGTGATGAAGATAAAATGGTTGCAAAGACCACGGAACAGTTACTGCCAATGTTCTCTTTAGGTAACTGATCAAAATCAACTGTATTCTCATTTACTGAAATACTAAATGGATTTGAGAATGAGGAGAACAAAAGATTATCAGTTTTCAGTAGAAACTATGAACTAATGATAGCTAACATTATCCTTTATCTTTACTTACCCGGTGTCCCACAGAGAATAAAATCTGCCACTCCAAGGAGCGATATAACCTGAAAATGAGAAGAAAGGACAAGACTTTTGCTGCCTAAGTATTTAAATGCAATAATTTGTCTACATCTTTAAATGAAAGCACAAACTAAACACCAAAAGAAATTTCATTAAATGTGTAGAATATGTGAACTAGGCCTACTGCATCAGGTAGCTTAGGATGTCTACCAATGATGAACCTAGTTTTAGTGATGAGATCACACTGGACACGTTCAGTAGCAAGACATACTGAACTATCTGACACCTCCAGAAGTCAAGGTGATGCAAAATAATTAAAATATCTCTCAAAGAATGACTGATAGCAATCTATGTTCTGTAAAGAAGTACAAGAAAAAGAAATGATGTGTGGTCCAGATGTTAGCACCCTGCTGCAGGAGGATTATTAAGAAAACACAGGGGGAGCTGAGTGCCATGAGATCAGTGGTCAGCAGCCTGGATCACACAGCAGGTAAGGAAAAATGGAGGGAATCAGGTTTGTTCTGTGTGGTGAAGCAGTGACACTTATGGAATCTCAGAAAAGGATGCTAACACTTTCTAAGAAATGCAACAAGACGTATTTTGCAACAGATTGAGATTAGAAGCCAAACATCTTGATATGCCAGTCTGAAATTTTAATTTTTTTTTTTTTACAAATATTAGTAGGATTTGCTCTTTCACATGGGAAAGAGAATTATAAACCATCAAGGTTTAGAAGACTTAAAGGCAAATATTGATGCTAAGTTATCTTTTGGAATAACGGTATCATAATTAACAAAAATAAAACTTGCAATTAAATGTCCAAAAAACAGCTGATACCATAAAAAAATCTACAGTAGAAATACTGCTAACAGGAAGTACAAGAAAGAACTCCATTAATATAAAAACAAGTTAAACTTGAAGAAAGTGGTTGTTTCGTTTGTAAACCAACCAACCTCTCTAAAAAACATAACTATATATGAGGTATATATTAACATCACCCAGTTTATACCAAGCAGAATTCAGTTTTGGCATGGGTGACATTTATATAGAAAAACAGGTATGGAAGAAAGGTATGGAGGTAGACGACCAAAGAAATATGTCACAGAATCAGAAAAAGGCAGTGAGGCATGTGAGGAACTCAACCATGCAAAAAAAAGCTTAATTTTGTAAGGCTGAGTAGAGCTATCTTGAAGATTGGAGGCTGAACCACAGAAGAGGAACTTACAGACATACATTAATTTCAGTGATATAGAAATCAGGTTCAATTATTCAATAAAGTAGCTAACTTTATCTTGATTTATCAGTGGTATACAGAATAGATTAACTATGTTTATCTTCCTAATGGGCTTTTGCTATAGTTATGTTCCTCATTCCAATCTGACTTCTTGCATCATACTATGAAAGAATGAGTCCTGCATGCACACGTTTTATAATGCTCATCTCCCATTCTTCAATTCTAAATGCGCTCTTGGTATTTTGATGTGATATTAATATCTGCGCTCTTCAGCTGATGATCTATTTGATCTCTTCTGCGGATTTATAAGTCTAAATATCCCCAGTATCCTTAAACCCAGGAAAGAATCCTGCAGCCCAGAATTCAGAGTGAATGCCAGCACACAGACACATGAGGTAATATGGGTGCTGGTTTGCTCTGAGGTTACCAACATCTACTTTTGACTCAGCCCAAGTTTTGATTACCTCGGTTACCTGCTCCAAAGAGGATCTGTTTTCATGTTTATTTACCTGTGTATGTCAAATAGATGACACTCAGGAATACAATACCAGCAGCCAGTGAGACGCCCAAGAAGAACAACGTCTGAAACTCTTGCTTTGTTAGCCTGTCTCTCAGATACTGCAAAAATGCATATGCCTGCAGCAATGCAAAAACACCTAACGAAAGACAAACATTTCTGTTTAAATGCTAAAAACAATTGTAAAAGCAATTGGCAAACTTAGTCCCTATTTGGGTCAGAAAAATACACACCATGTATATCCTTACATCTGAAAACCAGTATAAAATTGCATTCTGACAAACTGACTTTAATAGTTAATAGAGATGATAGTTCCTCAGTTATTGCAATGAAGTGATTTATCCACAAAACGTTCTTTGCTTCTTATGTATTAAAAGCTGCCTTTTTGCTCCCAAAGTAACTTGGGAATAAGGGGGAGAAACATCTGAAAACTAGACTGCATATATTTTGACAAAGGCCAGTTTAATATACCTAGATATTATGAAAAAACAACATGCAGCTCTTGGCTAGCTTGAGTAATGAGTTACAAACAAAGACTCTGGACGTCATAAAAAGTAAGTCTAATAAAGAAATGTATGGAAATCAAGTTACTGAACCAAACAATAGGATTTAATGGAAGGAAAAAAGAAACCAACATCTAAGTAACACAGTCTGAGTTATACAAAGCTAGTGCTGAAACACCAGAACTTGCTGGGTAAACATCCTGCACCCTTAAAAAGAATAGTTCCAAATCTAATATTAAGCATGGGAATTCTCTGCTGTTATTTATTTCAATGTATATAATCACATCAATCCAATGATTTCACCACTCAACAGCTAAAATCTCTGGTAAAAAACCAAACACACGAATTCAAGCATGTGGTGGTTCTCTAACCATGAAACTGTCATACATGATGTTGAAATTCATTAGTTCCAAAGCCCCAGAGAAGAGCAAAATCTCTCTTCACTAAATAATTGTAAAATTATTCTGATGCAAACTATGGTGTGATAATTTTTACTCTATCCATTCTATGCAGAATGTTGAAAGAATCTCAATTAAAATCAAAAACATGCTAAAAATATTTTTTTCTGGTGAATTTTAATCAACATCCAATTGCTCTCCAAAATACATTTTAAGTGACAATATGTAACTGAAACAAGGAGCCATCTAACAAATTAAGCTGTACCACAAAACCGCTCTGTGCTCCTAATAAATAATATGCATGCTCCTGCGTCTAGCAGACTTAGTAAAGGTTACTGCTGTCAAGAAATCAAGATGTGTGAATGCTTAACAGCTACTGAGAATAAGCTTAGTTTAAGAAAACAAAGAATCAAAAAGATTAAAATCAGTAATTTAAAAATCAGCCTCCTATATGTAATCTGTCATCTGTAGTTAACTCACTTTGAGAAATTATCAACTCTAAAAACAAATGGCTCAATAAGAACTGTGTTTACCAGTAACAAATGTTTCAATTATACAACACTTGAAAGCAGCATTATATTGCAATACAGCAGAGATTATCAATGTGTAAAATAAGTGCTTGTCAGAATGCATTAGTGATTCAGCGTTATGGAGGCATTTCACTTCCATTAGCTCACACAAAGAAGGATAATGTGTTGATTGGAAAGAAAACTTCCCTACAGATACTAAATAGTACCTATTTTCTTCAACAATTTGGTTTGTTACTTTGTGCCGTTTCTAATACAAGGAAACAGAGTCACAAGGGTTTGAGGTTTTCTTGTGCTGAACAAGCTGTTCGGAAGCAGTTTTCTTACCTGCAGCTGCCATGTGTTCACTTGTTCTAATTGGTTGAAATCCCACAAAAGGTATCTGCATTGATAATATTAACCCAACAATGTAGAAAGTGCTGTATGCTGGAAAAAAAAAAGAGGGAGAAAGCAGACGAGAAAAGTGTGAAAAAAATTGTATACACATTGCAAAAAGCACTGATTCCACAGTAGAACCCATTCCTCATCTCCAAACAAAGAATGACACTGAAACACAACTGTACTGTTTTAAATATTCTGGCCATTACTTGTTTTCCCTAAAAAAACGCATGAAGCAAAGTAGTGCTCTTCCTAACTACACTGTTGTTGCTTATTTTTCTTCCTATAGAAGTGAACTGTCTACCTAAAATGCTGTAGCTTTGCAAGTTTTCTCTTCCCATTTGGCTTCCTTATTTTTCCAGAATATGGGTGGGAGAAGAGATCTCAGATAACAAGTGAAAAAAGCAGCTTTCCATATGAGGATAAATTAAAGGAGCCAGGCTGCAAACACACAAAACATTTAAGAGTGCACTTACAGAATGAAAAAGGTATGCTTGTTCTGTTTTTAATACAAGAACAGAGGCATGCCAAGAAACTGAAAAGCAACAGAAATAAAAATGAATACTGAGCATCTGTACTATTAGATCTATACCAACAGTGTGCGCTCATAGCCCTCAGAAAGCTGAGGCCAAGAACACAAAAGTATTAATACCACAATTCGTTATTTCAACTGGAACGATATTCATGTACTTCATTCTGACAGGATTTGGTTCCTAAATACTCCAAAGTGAGAAGGAGATGGAATGACAAGAGAGAAATACCAACTACGAACAACCACAAGTCCGCTTACACTGGAAGCAGCTCCCCAGCTCCAAATCCAAACAAGGCTTTCTTCCCTCAGTTGCAACCAGCAATGACGTACCTCCAAGATTTTCAAAACATTCCTACACATCATAAACCACTGGGCTTTGGTATGGCTTCAATCTTATGAGGAGATCCTTGTCCTCATATAATCCTTTACTAAGACAACAGGTTTGGGGACCCCATCATATATCATTGGTATTATTTTTGTTGTAGCTGTGTACTACACTCCTAAGATACTGTATGCTTTGCAAAGATCACAACAATGACTGTCATGATGCTTCCAACCACTTCCAGCTGTCTTTGCTGCCGAATCCTTTGAAGCATCAGTATTCTGCTGCTTGGCCTCGCTACCCCTCTGTTCCCTCTTTATGCCACTGAAATGTATTTTTGCTGTAGGAAACTTCATTTTTGAAGAACTCACTACAACATAAATCACTTACTGTATCATAAAAATGCTGCAACAGTGCCATCCTGTGGAGGTTTAACGATGGCATAAATCACTAGATTTCACACCTGTTAGACCATTTTGAAGAATCATTTTTAATTCTACAACTGCTATGCTTCATTTGCCCACTTTATTTGCACCCCTCAAAGCCCACTTCTCTCAAGCAGCCATCACATCTGCCTGCTTGGTATTGAAGGAAGAGGTAGTCTGAGACAACTTGTTGAGGAATTCATTACATGAAGGTGATACTGCAGCACAAACTACCCATGTTCCTGTGCAAAGACTGCGCAAACAGCAGAATGTAAAACCAAGAATTTGATTTGGATTCCTGAAATGTATTTGATATCATGGATGCCCCATCCCTGCAGGTGTTCGAGGCCAGGTTGGATGGGGCAATGGGCAACCTGATCTGCATCTAGTAATTTAATGGCGGGTAACCCTGCCCACAGCAGGAGGGTTGAACTAGATGGTCTCTGAGAACCATTCCAACCCAAACCATTCTATGATTCTATGATTATAACTTTGATTGGACCAAAAAATGAAAAAAACTGACCTTCTTTTGGATAAAATAATTTCACACACTTTCAGTTATTGTACACTGTGCAAACTAGAGAAAAAAAACTACTAAAACTACCCTAGAGGATACAATCAGCAGTTTTCAATTAATGGATTAGAATCACCAGAAACAAACACTTATTATCTTAAGCTTTACAGTACTTCAGTAGTTAATAAAAAACATATGATAAGACACAACACAAAAGCAAGAAATTTAGTTTTATATGCTGCAGATTGCAGAATTGTTTGATTAGACTAGATGACCTTTCAAGGTCCCTTCCAACTCCAAGGGATGCTTTTCTGCTCCACCTACTGCATGGAAACCTGTTTTTATCAGAGGAGTTGGAATAGATGATCTCCAGAGGTCTCTTCCAATCACTACAATTCTGTGATTCTGTGATTACAGCTAGATAAGGTTGCTCAGTGCCTGGTCCAGCCTGACCATGAGCATCTCCAAGGACAAAGCAGCCACCACAGCTCTGGGCAACCTGTTCAGTTGCCTCATCACCTTTATTGTAAAAAAAAATTCTTCCTTGTATCTAATCTAGATCTCCCCTCTTTTAGCTTGAAACCATTTCCCCTTGTCTTATCTTTAACGTTTTTTCTTTTGAAGTACACACAAAAAAAAAAAAAAAAGAAAAAAAAAGAGTAGGTTGAAGTGAAAATTGCCAAATCTCCCAAGCACACAAGGCTTAAATCTACATCAGTTCCTTTCCAAACATAAAACCATTCATGTTTTAAACTTGTGAGAAACTACAAGAGAAACTATACATAAAATAATAGAAAATAACATCCTGCATTCAAATAAAGAGGCTATTTTTCTAAAATGCATGCAGATTTTACTAGCTACTGTCATCTGTCAATAGGTTACAAAAAGTTCTCGCTGCACATTGGTAGCCTTCAGAAATAGGAGACTCCTGCATGCACACCAGTAATTGTGCATCACATATGCTCCAAAAATATCTTTATCTTCCCTACTTGAATGAGCTTTCATCTTATCCTATCTGAATATCTGGCAGTGAAACACACTTCCATTTCTACCCAGAAATGCTTGAACATTCCTATCAGTTTTTACAAAAACATCCTGCTAAACAAACCTAGAACATGCACATTGCTGCAAGGTGCACACACATCTGTAAGGCCTCCTATGGACGTTTGAAAAAACAAGAGTACTTATGCTTCATTGTTTCTGGTTACCACATCCTTTTAGGATTTTATAACAAATAACTTTCATTTTCTCTAGCCTAACTCACAGAAGCTGAAAATGAAAATATTTAATGAAGGGATTTTAAAAGAAAAACAACACAGATTGCTCTCCCTTGTAATTATAAACAAGTAGTTAATGAAAAAGTTCGCTACTACTAAAATTAAAGGTGGGTAAGAATTTCCTCCCTTCTTTAAATTTAATTTTAGATTCTGGATTATAACAATAGATAAGCAAGAAGCAAGAAACAAATATCTGTATTAGGGTAAAAAATGAAAAACAGAATGTGAGTAACTATTACATATTTGAAGCACTACAGGCTATTTGTAAATATTCTGATTCCCCTAGTAGGTTCCGAAAAACAAAAAAATTATTAAAAATACTAAGAGAAAATCAGTACTAAAATGGGTGACAAATATACATTAACTAACACAAGACATGACACTATAGTTCAGTGAATTCTATGCTCTCAAACTATCTTCAGTAAAGGTTTCACACAAAGAGATCAAAAACCTTTCTAGCTACTTTACACATTTTTGAATCCTTGAATTGCTTGTTTCATTCACATCCACACCACAGCCAACTGATTTAATAGGTAATATCTCTCAACTGTTGACACAGTATGTAAATATCAGGCAAATCAAATAAAAAAAAAATTCTCCTAAGATTGCTATCCAAACATTTCTGTAACTGGCAGGAAGGTTGACCCATTAACCCAAGAAAATGTAAAGGAATCAAGTGGAGGTGGCAGACTATTGTGCTGCATTTGAGTCCAGCCTATAAAGCTTATATGGTTGCTTAAAATTCCCCATGTCTTTTCCTGTGTAGGTCACAATATACTGTAACATTTGCAAAATTATTGCTGCAAAACGTTTTAAAAATAGCAGCTGTTTTATGTACTAGGAAAAGAAAAAAGATGAAACTTTCTTTTTTATTTAGAATGCACCCACACAATGTACAAATTAAATGCACTAACAGGATTTTAAGAATATCAAACCATCCAGTTGTTTCTTTTTTTCAGTGCACCAGAAAGTAGAAAATGAATTAGCTGCAATGTATCTGAAATTTTGGAAATGTGAACAGGACGTCTTAACTCTCTACTGTTGCAGACAGCAACTGACTATAGTCAGTAATTCAATTAATGAAATGCAATTTGATGTGCAATTACTTCATTCCCACCTAATACAGAAGACATCAGTGTAATTTCATATCTCATGATCTTGCACTTGACAATGACTGTTCAAAGAACAAAACTTACCAATGTAGACCCTCCTGCTGTACCTCTGCATCAGCAGCAGAACAAACACATGCAGTGGAATAAGGTTGATGATGAAAACATAACCACCCCATGCAGAGACCTGTGAGAATTGGAATGGGAAATCAGCTGCAAGAATATTTATGACAGTCAGTGCTGACAAGAAAAGACAAAAACCATTTAGACATGAAGTCAGAACTACTGGTAATACCAGAATCTTTCTCAAAACATTCCACCAAAGGAAAGGAAAACAAAATATACAAACCCCCATAAGCAGTAATATCAAAGCATTAAAGACATTTGAAATGGGCTACTGCATTTTCATGCTGTCTTGCTTACAGCTCCACAGCTCCTCCCAAGATAACTTGGGCTGGCTGGCAAACAAGAATTTGATGCTGGGGGCTTTTCCTCACGGTGATGGATGCAGCACATGGCAGCAGCAGTACTCCCACCTAGGATTTGAGATTTCCATTCAACACACAGTAAGCACGACGCCCTGCACTTTTTGTTTCCATCCAGAAAGAAGAAAGGGAGCAAGGAACACTGGAACCCAACAGAACCGTTGGGACAACACAGCAAAGGGAAGTTGCAGTGTAAGAAAAGAAACAAATGGAAGAGGGCAGATACACAGGGAAGCAGGGCTGAGCACTGTGGAGTGGCGTACAGCAGGATCAAGGAGATTGTGAACCTGTAAAACTGCGGTGCTTGAGAACTACGGGTAAGATGTACTCAGAACTGAAACGTTGCAGTGTTATCGTTGTATCACTCATTGTTGGTGTAGATAAAGAATTAATGAGCTACTATTAAAATACGTTATCTAAATTTTTAATACATTAAGAAGGGCTAATGTTGACTAGGCAGTCTGTATTTAACATGTTCTCTTGTCAAACTGCAGTCTAGACTTCTCCCATATGTACCATGCCTACCCCAGATCTTCATTTTCAGAATGCAGCAGCTATGTGGTTTTTACTTTAATTGTACTCCAAGGCTTAGTTTCATGCAGGTATTTTTAAAGCCCTAGAATCCAGAAACCCAAATATTGGTATTTGATGGAACAAATTCTAAAATAAGGGCAAAGTCAAATATTGCTTTCTGATACTCTAACTGCAAAACCAGGCACTTCAAAATTTGGGGTAACTCATTTATACAATGAGAAACAAGTAGGAAATTTGAGAATTTTCTAGGAAATAATTTCAGATTATTGTCATTCTACTGCCACATCACTACCATGAGCTGTCACGTTTTACACAGGTGTGTGGAACTGCTGAATCACAGCCTGAAGCACTGATTGATCACCTGAGGCGAGCACTGAGTCAGCCATGGAGCACAGGTGAAGGCAATTCAGCTGTGTGATGGAAGGGGTGGAGCCTGGCTGCACCTCTCCTAGACCCCCCTGGATTGCCAGTGGGAAAGGATCTCTGCTGGAGATCCCTCCTCTGGAGTTTCGCAGTGAGCCCAGGGTGCAGGTAAGCATTCTATCTGTTCTCTTTTTGTTATTATAATCTGCTTTGCCAAACTCTTGTTTATTTAATAACTCTAACGCCTTTATACTCATTGACTATACAATAGGCAATTTCATATTCTGAGAGAAAATACTATACAAAGACAGGTAAGATAAGATAGAATGAGAACAAGTGTGTAATAGGACATTGCCATGTTCTGGCAAAGGCTTCAGTGATGCACATAGCAAGTAGCCTGTATGGACTAGAGACTTGTATTTCTAATTAGCATTTATTCACTAACACTGAACTAGATCTACACTGAAGATTGTACTGGAGGTTTTCAAATGTTTCCTTGCAGAGTTGCAAGTAATAGAAACATGCCAATACTCTAATGAGTACTCAATTTAAAGTTTTATTTTTCCTTTGTCATTACAAAGCATCTGAAGCAAAAGAAACTAATGTTAAATAAAAGCTAAAATATTTAAATGCAAGAAAAAACACTTCATCCTTATGGAATGCAACGTGATATTATGAGTCAAATCACCAGAGTTAGACGTGTACCTTAAGCAGATTCAGCTATAAGTAAAGCTTCTTTCAGTTCATGCAATATCCATCTCTCATACAAGGAGCAGCTCCCCACATTCCACAAGCATGGAATCACCCTCGCTACCTCAAAACTGTCATTGTTTAACTTGCATTGAAAAGATCACTCATTCCACCAAAGGAAGATAAACTAATACTACATAATGCATATGATGATTATGTTCTAGAAATTTATGTAAGCAAAATGCCAAGGAGGGCATCTTATTGAAATACTTCCTCAAAAAGAAACACAATATATGGAAAGCCACCAAGAGAGATGAAGCAGGTGAGCTCTGTAACCAACCAAATTCTCATCTAATCACTGACACTAATTTATAGAGAAATAGATTAAGCTTTTAGCAGTTGGCATTGCTTTGAAGGAAAATAAAAGAATAATATATAAAAGAAAATGAACATTAATTTACATTAAGGACTGAGTGTCATGATGATGACATTGATTCTTTAAATTCTGCCACATGCACACTCAAGACCATATCCCTTCCTTCTTGAAAAGTTCCACGGACCAAGATGCTTGTCATACTGAGATGAGAATTGCTATTCTGTGACTTTTTTTATCAGTAAAAGTGAAGCAGTGTCTTATTTGCTACTGCTGTGGTTTAACACAGCGAGCTTCTTACCAAAACTACAGGTCTTCTATATAATGCAACATTAATACAAATGTTATGTATAAAAAAGATGCTCTTTGTTTGCTGACTTAACAGAAAAGAGGAGAAATGAGAGAAAACAGATGAACTCCCAAAAAAAAACAATTAACATTAAAGCAAAGGAAATGTAGGCAGCACCCACAACCTCTAAATTAGTGCTCTATTTTAAATTAAGGTATGCAAAAGAATTCCAAAATTCCTTTTTTTTCTTTTCTTCCCCAAGCCTGGCTATCTGCCTGTGGAAAAGGCAGTGTTTCAGGCCTCCATATTAACACCACCAAGCACTTATCCCAACTATCCCACCACTGGTCGTTGTGAAGCTAATTTATTTATCATATAGCCCCCCTAAAATGTTTATTTGCTAGAGGAAAAAAGGCCTTTGACTGATTCATACAGGATAATACTGTGAATCTAACATTTCAGAAGGGGAGGAAAAAATTCTATTATTACTGTATGTAACATGTACAATATGTACATATTGTATAGTACGTACACAGTAATAATGACACACTCCACCTTCTATCACCTGGACCAAACCAGAAATTCTGCTGAATCAGAACATCTAATTGCAGCACAGGATGAATTTGCAAGGAAAGTTACTGTATTTAGTGTTTTACAAGAACTTTCACTGCACTTAAGCACTTTAAATTTCAAAATATTTAGTATTTCTTCTAACTTATATACTTAAGGTCTTAATGAGACAAAGGAGCAACTTTACGTTATGGTCCCAACAAAGATTAAAATCTCCTCCTTCTGTCCTTCACCAACACATGAATTAAGTCCTACCAAACAATTCACTTATTACATACAAAAGGCTTACCATGTAGAAGTAAGATAGACAGCAGCAGATTGTCCAAAAGACTGACCCAGTTTTCACCGACTTCACCTTTAAAAATAATCAAGTATAGTAAACAAATATTGGACAATAATACAAAATTCAATTAAAAAAAACAGCTGTCAAGAAAAGTTCTTAAATACATCTCAAGTTATATTTGTATGCTTTTGAACTGATGTCCATAAAAATCAAACCAAAATGGCAATTCATTCACACACAGGACAGCTTACATGTCTCTCTCTAGATAATGCAGAGACAGGATGCACTGCAACTGTCTATTTCATGATCCAAGGTAGAAAAGTAGTTGCAACACTTTCATGCTGCTTTCTCTGAGACATTAGAACTTATTGTTAACTGTAGACCATCCGTGGCTTCCTTTGGCTGGCATCAGACCCAACTTTGCAATTATAAAAAGCTATCCTGTGATTCTGAAAAACTCATTTAGGGTTAGTGAGAGCATCCAGATTTTACTAAAGGTACAGCACCATCCACGAACTGGCTCAGGAATATGACTTTGTACAGAACAGATAGTGGTGAAATACTGGCATTAAACAAAGCCATGCAGTTATCTGTAAAATATATTTGATTCTCACAATTCTGCAAAAATGTATGCAGAACGCTATTGGCACTATGCAGTCTAGTTAAATGTGGGAGTTCCACTAGAGCAGATAACTGCTATTGTGCCTTAGTTATTAAAAAGTAACAACACAGGTTGATTCTATTATTATCCAAAGCAATATGACTTTACAACTGCAATTTAAATTCAAATTAAGAAAACATAAAAATCATTAGCAGGCCTTTCTTCAGAACCTGCCCTTAATTATCACCAGTAACTTAATCATGAAAAGCTTGAATTTCCTTCTATTATGTTCTTACCAACCATGTCCCAAGTTTGAAATATTCCAAAGCTAAAAAAATCTGCAAGTATGCATTTGTTTCTGGAAACTACAATTCTTGACAAATTATTGGAAGAGCTGTAATGACAATGTACATAGTCCCTATGAAGACATTCTGTGCAGAACTGCATGCTTTAAAGGACAGCTCAAGGAACAGCACTGTTGTGTCCACGTTGAATTAACACCATGACTATGTTCTCTGTGTTATTTCCATAATAAATAGAACAGTCCCAAAAAACTCCAGCTTGCCTAACCCCCTTCACACAAAACAATGTGACAGATGAAGTTCTACATGCAGATTAAGGAGTGACAGATAAAGTAGGCTGTTTAAAAGGCATTAGACTATTGAACAATTTTTAAGCATGCAAGCAGTATGAGTATCTTGCTCCATAGGCAGCTTTAGGCATTAAATTTGAATACTTAAGTCAATGTCTAGACATACAGTCAACAGCTTCTTCAGATGAGCCTCCTTAGCTGAGCTGGTGAAAAGCTGTAGACTGCAGGTTGTCAAGTCTGAGCTCACATAAACACCAAGTACCTCCAAACCAAAAAATGAAAGCAACCCTACTGTTTCTTTAAACTTAGACTCATCATTATTACTACTACTACAGGACAGGCGTATTCCAGTAGAGCAGTATTTTCATGTAATAAACTGAAAAGCATTATTATGGAGAGGTTCAGATCACATGACTTCTCAACACTTGCCTCATCCAAAGGCAAGAGAAATGAAAGGGAAGAAAATGAGATTTCAATGAATGCTAAGAAAAATCATTTGGTTGGAGGAGGAACCAAAAAAACGTTTCCAAAGCAAAAGATTCAGCAATTACTTACCCATAAATAGTATGTGAACTGCAGTGCAAAAATAGCTATGCCTTCATTGTCAAATGATCCCGCTACTGATCGAGATATGTAACCTGGAACTATGGCAATAAAACAGGCAGCTAAAAGCCCTGCTCCCTGGTTCCACAGTTCTCTGGTGAGCAGGAAAGTAGAAATAGCTGTAAGGCCGCTAAAAACGGGTGCTAGGAACACGCACACGTCTCTTATATGGACTGTCACGTTAAGCATGTTTAAAATCCAATGTATAAGGCCTGCTGTCACCATCAGTCCTGGGTATACCTAAAGGGAGGGAAAAAATCTCACTATATTACTGTAGAAAATGGTCACGGTAAGTTTATTTGCATATATTTGCAAGGAAATACAATCATTTCTTAAGCTGATACAAGCAGTGAGCAGGCAGAGTTAATGGAATTATTTTAATACTGCTTTAATCATGTTTTGACAACACTGCTGAATACCCAAGGTTCTTTAAATTTTACCCAAATGCTAACAATTAGATATAATACATTTTCTAAATGAATAAGCAGCACACAGATAATATCCTATCTTCCCTGACATTTATCACATAATGAGCAGAATTTTCAGTTAAGGAATCAGAAACTAAAGTTTGTATGAAAATTTCAAGCCAGCTAACAGCTTTAAGAAAGAACAACGCAACAAAACAAATCCAAAACACAACCAAAACAACAAGAAGCTCCTTAACATTTCTCAGCCGTTTCCAATTTTCTCTATAATACACCATGTCATTTATTTATTTCTTGTTACCTGTGGAGAAAGCAAATATGCATTGAAGTTTTTAAATTGAAAAATTGACTGACAGTCAGTTGAGTATATTTGCAAGATATCCATAGACATCTTAGATAGGAAGACGAAGGCAAAGTCCTACAAAACTGAATAAAGATGTCCTCCAGGAAAGAGCAGCATAGGTTCCATGGATTCGTATCTATTGTAGAATACTGGAGAACTTTAAAATATTCTTAATAGGGATTGTACCTTTCCACATTTATCAACATTAAAAAATCAATATGCAGTAATATAATATGGACTATCTCTAAAACACTAAAACAAATAGTGATCTAATTACAAAAAGCTTTGTAAATGAATGTAAATGGTGTGCTCTCTAATTAAAAAGTTTTAATGTACTTTCAAGGTTAGATGTAGCTATGTTACTTGGAATTACTAAAGATACTCTAGTGAGCTATATTTGTATTCTAATTGATAATATTGTTTCTTATCACTTTTCCATTTGGTAATTTGGCATTGACATCAATCCTGGCCCCTCCTGATGCTTCATGCATGTCTCTTGACCACTCCTAGTTTAGTTTCAAAGGGTCTTTATTCAGTGAAACCCTCAATATAAATTCCACATGCAGATGATGCCCACTCAAAATACATAATTGACTTAGAATTTGAATCATAGAAGTTAGATGATTGTTTTTCACTTTCTTTTCTTTTGTATTGTAACACTGTGTAATAGCTTCTCTACAAAGGAAAATCAAAGTTACAGGAGTCATAAAACCCCAACTTATTATTACAAGCTCACATGTAAGAAGGCAAAATTCAGTTCTGTATTTCTTGTTCACAGTAGACTGTTGGATGAGGTCTAATGCATGTTGACTTAATGTCTTAATTACTGCTGCTAAAAATTAAAAACATCATCTTATTCCCTCAACAGCAATGTGACAATTAAAAGTATTTTCGACCAAGATTCTCCCTCTATTGATGTCAAAGTTGTGTTTAAAGTTCAACAACATTACCACAAAGTCAACTTGAAGTTATTATAATAATACTTACAGTTCCACCAACTATTCTTCCCAGTGGATACCATGCTCTTTCATCAAACCAGTTTAAAAATTCATAAAATCCATGGGATGCAAGATGATGTGTTGATCTATAGTTAAACCTAGAAAAAAAGAAAAGAACAGTGGAAAGGGAATAAAAAAATCAAGAATCTTAGGTATAATGTAAGTCCTCTGAGATTTAGAAAGTAAATAAACTTCAACATCTTATTTACTATACAATGGTCCTCTCAAAATCCATAGATTTTTAAAGTAAATTACCAAGCTTGCAGTTATTAACAACCACATTGTCTCCATTTCTACAGCCTGTGCACATACACAGGTGAAATGTTACAGCCTTTTGTCGTGGTAAACATTAAACAGTTTTCTAGGACTCTGACACAAAGCCTATGTTAGTTCTGCATTCCCTTTTAAAGTAGTCTCTTCACCAATTTACATATCCTATCCAGAACACCACTTAAGTAAAACAAGACTATGGAAGAATCAATGCAGGACTTCCTTCTGAGTCAAGACAGCTACCCAGCACATCTGCTACTGCTCTATTTCACATAATGTTGAAAGATGATGTCATAATATGAAATAAACACACTCTAATTGTTCACTCAGTGTCAAGCTGATGCCCTCTGCATAAATCTTTTCTTTCAAACGAGACCCTACTAACATAAGATAGAATCTCTGTAAATGAAATTTCAAAGTTTGTACATATTTTCTGCATCAGGAAATTCTTTGCACAATCAAAGCCCTTCTACGTATGCCTTCACTTCAGCCTTCCATGCTGCCCATATAACACTGACAATCAATGCAATAATTGTCTGATTTTCTGCCAAATAATTAATTCTTCCAGTGTCTCCAACTTCAAGTAGCAACATCTTGCAACTATTCTAAAATTCTTCAAATTAGCTCATGCTGCTGTGAGGCAAGCTGCAGTCTATTTTACCCAAAAGAGTAGCTCTTATATGTGCATTCTGGAGCCAAACCAATAAAGCCATAGGTATTAATGTGGAACAGCTTTGAGGAGAACAAAACAAAAACAAATACACAAAAACAACAACACAACTAAAAACTGAACAAGCAAATATTCGGCTTACAACAGCCTGGGTAAATGCCACTTCTAAAACAAGCAACTTCCATAAATCCAGCTCTCCTAATAGATATTCCAAATGGTGTTTAGCTAAAGATTACTTTTTTTTTTTGCTAAGGTCAGATGATTAAATGGAAAACTGTAACAGAGAAGAGGTTAGATGGATGGGTAACCCACCGTGAAAGACTTCATTACAGTTTGCACTCAAGACTAGAAAAGCTTATATGTATTTTTTATTTCACCGATTTCCTGAAAGTATCCATTTACATCAGTAACAAACGAAAATTTAAATACTACATTAAGCTCTCCTGTATGCTTAGGATTCCCAAAATACCACTGGTTTACTTTGAAATAATTCATTTCAATGCAAGGAAGCTCATGTCACTCAAGACTGCAAGACTCATCAAGCTCCTGCTCATTTAATCAGCATAACAAGGCTAATATCTGAATGACAACCACAAAGAGGTTAGAGCAGTTCTTGCCTACAAAATGAAAGGATAAAAAGAATTGAAATTCAAATCCAGATGCCAGCAAACCCGTACGGTTCCACTCACTGAGCTATCACAGTATCAGTCAAATGATATTAAAAAAAACCCAAAACAATAAATATAATAATGCAGTATTTCAGGAAAATTGTCCATCATAATCATTTATATAGGATACTAATATGATAAATATGATATGACACTAACTGATAAAACTGTAGACTTTCTAAAGTATTTAGCCATTTTTATATAAAAAATTCACATAAATATCAGTCATTATGACCTAGAAATCGATTTATCAAAAAGCAACATGACATTTGTTTTTAATAAGCCTGCGACCATTCCCATTTGACTACATTTCTCAATATGAATTAATTCTCCAGCTCTGAATGTCTGAATGGTCAACTGTAATATGATTTACGAAATGCTGTACCTGTAAAATTAGCCTCTTATCTTAGTGCAGCAAGGTTTTTTGCTAATTTGTTTAGTGCCAAGAGCCTGCAGCATGGTACAAGACAAAACAGGAATTCGCATGTTCTCCAGCCAGTTGCGGTCCTGACTTAAATTGCACTGAAAACCCAGTCAACACTGCTATCCTATCCTGCTAAAAAGGAAACAAGAAAGATAATGCATTTACTAATATGGACTAATGTCAATTTTTTAAGTCATGACTGGAGCTCACACAGGCTGCAGATGTTTACTCTAACAACATTAAAAGATAAGTTAAAAATGAAATAGGCAGGAATACATATTGACATTCTGCTCAAGTTTCAAACGAGTAAAGCTTCAGAAGTGACTTCAGAGGGAAGAGAACAACTGTCTTGTGCTTTGGCTGCAACCCATTATGTATGCAATTAGAATGAATTACCACTCAAAACTGAAACCCAACATAACAGCATTTATACTTTTACTGCTTAAGATGAATGAATTTAATCTTCTCTCCTAATACACTTTTTGTTAGATACAAATCTATTGACCCCTCCTTTTGAAAGGTGATGGATTCTTCTATAGTAGGTTAATTTTTCACTGTGAGGTGTCCTATAGGTAGAACAAGAAACAGCCTTCAGACCAGAGAAATCTAAAGAAATAGTATTTAGAAGCTTAACTGCAGAACCTCACTGTGACTTCAGGAAAAAAAAAAAGCGCTCACTTCCCCTTCCATCGGGTAACTTGCTAGCAAAAATAAATATGTGGATATAAGCATAAGCATACATAAGCACAGATCTGCTGAGTAATGCTGTGCAAGGACCAACTTTAGGCGCTGACAAAGCAGCAGTGGTGGGCAGTGCACCAGAGAGCTGAACACGACACCCAAATTATGCTTTGATACTACTTCCCTGCTTCATAGTGAACTGCTCCTACAAGGACAAGCCTGAACCTGGTAAAACTGTTTCCCTTTCATCAGAACACAGAGAGATGATAACAGCATGTACTGCAAACAATACTCCAGATGGTTGTGGTCAGCAGCTCTTTGTCCAAGTGGAGACTGTTCACAAGTGCTGCCCCAGGGGTTCTCTTCCACATCTTTATCGGAGATGCTGAAAGTCCAGTGGGATTAAGGGCAAGTTTGCTAATGAAACCAAGTCAGAAGGAAGGGATGACATCCGGAGGGACATGGACAAGCTTGAGAATGAAATGAGATTCAACAAGGCCCAGTGTAAGGCATTGCACTTGGTTAAGGCAACCCCAGATATACTACAGACTGGCAGAAGAACTCACAGAGAGCAGCACTGCCAAGAAGGACCTGGTGATGAAAAGTTGGACATGAGCCAGCAGTGTGCATCTGCAGCCTGAAGGCCAGTGGTATCCCGGGCTGCATCAATAGAGGGGTGGCCAGCAGGAAGAAGGAGGGGATTGTCCCCCTCTGTTCTGCCCCTGTGAGGGCTCATCTGGAGTACTGTGTCCAGGCCTGGGGCCCCACTACACAAAGACATGGAGCTGTCAGAGTGGGTCCAGAGGAGAGTCACAAAGACTAGCAGAGGACAAGAGCACCTCACCTACAAAGAAAGGCTGAGGGAGCCAGGCTTGTTCAGCATGGAGAAGAGAAGGCTGTGGGAAAAGATCATAGCAGCCTTCTGGTACTTAAAGGGAGCTTATAAACAGAGAGAGACTAATTTTTTACAAGGTCCAACAGCAATGGGATGATTTTTTTTATAAAAAAAGAGATGTAAGTGAGATGTTGAGAAGAAATTCTTTAGTCAGAGGTGGTGAGGCACAGGCTGCTCAGAAAGGTTGTGGATATCCCATCCTTGGAGGTGTTCAAGGCCAGGTTGGATGGGGCTTTGGGCAACCTCATCCAGGGGGCTGGAACTCTATCTTTTAAGGTCCCTTCCAACCCAAGCCATTCTATGATTTCACGATCCCACAACACTCGTGCCATCTTGGTACTTTACAGGCTGTGCTAGAAAGTGGTACAGTGATACCATACTTCTACAGATGACACATGCAACCACCTACATGTTCCACAGAGTGTCAAAAAATCTCAAGGAATACAGATGATATATGATATATATATGATATTTTGCTTATGGCCACATCCCAAAGGTTGAAGGGTGGCATCTCAGCCTTAGTATCCCCATCTTCACCAGTTCTTCTATCCCAACAGATATCAAGGACTTTTTCCAATTCCTTTCCTGACTGGACAGAGATCAGGCACACCAGGACTGGAGGAGGCTGCTGGTTACAGTGACTGAATAGTATGTGGTACTGTGTGACAGGATCATCTTAAGGAAAGGATCCCTTTTCTCCCTCCCTCAGCCACCTGATCTGGAGATATGAATTGTTCACCCATCTCGCAAGATTCTCTCGTTAAGGGAGGACCCTTTGAGGCAAGTCAGTATGAGAAGAATGAAGAAGAAGATTATGTGAAACGCTTGTCTAATTAAGAACTTATCTTGAAAGCCTGAGGTGAACATTCACGTTCTCAACCCACACTGTGAATAAGATACACATTTGCTATCAGTTAGCAAAGAGCTCTTAAGAACTTGACTGACTGAATACTTGTGTGTACTGACTTTTCTTATTTTAGCTGACATTCTATGAGGAGAATGATGCTCTGCTGTTCTCCTTGCCTCTTCCTACCAGGTCTGTAGTTTGAACTATCTCCTCCTCAGAGCTAGTTTTTGAAGGAATCAAACAATCCTCTTGGTACATTTCAGAATTAGAAGTCTCAGCCACCAAATTAGCCTAGTTTGGACCTTTTGGGGAGCACTCCAGCTTCACTAAGATGATGCTCTATGCATGGTGATATTTCTAGTGATATTTCTGGCGATCTTCTGGCAACTATTGAAGATATCTGTATTATGATAGGTAGAGTGAATACCTATATTGGAGAAATCTATGTTATAGTAAGTACAGCAGAAGACTAAAGAATTGTTAAGAAGCATGGTTCTCATTTTCAAAGCATATTTTAATTTCAGCTTGCAGCTGAGCAAAAGCAGCAACAGCAAAATAGCTGAGCGGAGGCAGCATTTCTAGTAGTAGCAAAATTAACTTGAAAACTTTACTAAGCAGCTTGCAATACAAAGCCTGTAAGAAT